ATTATGCCAGGGGAAAGAAGCCAGATAGCAGGTGGCCTTGGATTGTTTTTTCTTTTTATTTCCTTGTTTATTTTTGATTTTTTTCTTCTCTTTTTATTTCCTTGCTTTTTTTGTTGTTGTTGTTGAGACAGAGTCCCACCCTATACCCTGAGCAGAGTGCAATGGCATCATAGCTCATTGTAACCACAGACTTGGACTGTGGGCATCCTACTGCCTCGGCCTCTAGAAGCCACTGGGATTACAGGTGCTTCCCGTGGTGCCCAGCTGGGTTTTTCACTTTTTTGTTAGTCATGGTGTCACTCTTGATCGGGCAGGTCATGAACTCCTGAGGTCAAGCAATACTCCCTCCTCAGCCTCCCACAGTGCTAAGATTATAGGTGTGAGCCAGCACACCCAGGAGATGGCCTTAGATTTTGGTGTTCTTTTTCCTGTTTGTTTTCTTTTCCCTTTTCTGGTTTGATGTATGTATTTATGTAGTGCATATTCATATCTGTACTACCTACAACATCTGATACACAGGAAGAGTCCACTAAACGTGTGGAAAGAAAGCATTTTCTTCTTTCGACAAAGAATTCTTTGATTTTCAAAATCTCAACTTTTTGAAGGTATTTCCTTTTTTTTTTATTTAATTTTGTTTTTTTAATTAAATGATAAAGGTATTTCCTAAAATGCTGGTGGACTCCAGTATATGTTATAATACATTCCTATATCAAAACAAGTATTCAAGCAAAGGAAATTTCTTTCCTATTGCTTTTCATCCCATTGCCAAAGATTTCCAGTTCAAGTAAGCAGTTAAAGTACACTGAATTTTCAGGCCAATTTTTACAATGCTGTAATTTCATACATTTATTTAGCTGGTATTTATTTGAGCACCTGCCATGTACCAGACACTATTCAGTAAACTGTCTAAAAGAACCAACACAAATTCTTGCCCTCAAAAGAATTTACATTCTAGTGGATGGAAAGAGATAATAAAATAAGTCAGATATAAATAATTTATAATATATTAAATAATGCCAGTGCTAGGACAGGCAGGGAGAAGATCAAGTTATTTGCTTTCAGAAGGGTGCTTGCTTCACTGAGGCAACATTTCGACACAGAAGAATAATACTTGGGTAAAAAAGCATTCCAAGGAGAAGGAATAGCAAGTGCAACAGCCTTAAAACAGGAGCCTTCCTGGTATATTCTTAGATCATTAAGAATTTCAGCATAGGCTTGATATAGCAGCTCATGCCTAAAATCCCAGCATTTCTGGGACATTGAGGTGGGAGGATCCCTTGTGCTCTGGAATTAGGGAGTAGCCTGAGCAAATTGAGACCTTGTCTTTCTATCTTTTACTAAAGATAGAAAAATAATTAGCAGGGCATGGTGGTGCCACTCTTATTCAACTGCTGGGGAGGCTAAAGGAGGATTGCTTGAGCCCCAGGAGTGAGCTAGGGTGAAGCTAGGACACTCTAGCCCAGGCAATAGAGTGAGACTCTGTCTCAGAAGAAAAAAAAAATATTTAAGAATAGCTAGAATGCATTAGACAAACAGCAGGAGACAAATCACTGAAAAAATAAGGGCAAACTGTGTAGTGCCTGTGAGGTCTTTAAGAGATTCTGGCTTTTTTGTTTTGTTTTTTGTTTGAGGCAGAATCTCACTTTGTCACCTGGGTAGAAGACCGTGGTATCATAGCTTGCAACAACCTCAAACTCTTGGGCTCAAGCAATCCTCTTGCCTCAGCTTCCCAAGTAGCTGAGACTGAGGCACCCCCCACAATGGGCAGCTATTTTTATTTTTATTTATTTATTTATTTATTTTTGGAGACAGAGTCTCAGTCTGTCACCCTTGGTAGAGTGTGTGGCGTCACAGCTCTCAGCAACCTCCAACTCTTGGGCTTAGGCAATCCTCTTGCCTCAGCCCCCCGAGTAGCTGGGACTGTATGCGCCTGCCAGAATGCCCGGCTATTTTTTGTTGCAGATCGGCCAGGGCCTGGTTCGAAACCACCACCCTTGGTATATGGGGCTAGCACCCTACCCACTGAGCCACAGGCAGGGCAGCTATTTTTAGAGATGGGGTCTCGCTCTTGCTCAAGTTGTTCTTGAACTCCTGAGCTCAGACAATACACTTGCCTCGGCCTCCCAGAGTGCTAGGATTGTAAGTGTGAGCCACCCTGCCAAGCTTTGGGATTCTGGCTTTTACTCTAGGTAAAATGGAGAAACCATAGAGATTTGAGTGCAGGAGTAAAATGCAGTGAGGTTGGAAAGGTCTGGTTGAACCCCAAAGAAACCAATGAAATCATCAATGCCACCTCTCATCAGCAGATCCAGAAGCTTATCAAAGATGATAATCTTTGGGCTCAATGCAGAAAAGTACTTCCTTATAGGAAGGGCAGGCATATGAGCATGGGTAAGTGAAAGGGTACTGCCAGTGTTCAAGTTCCAGAAAGGTAACCTGAATGAGAAGGATGGGAATTCTGCACCAGCTGTTCAGAAGATACCATGAATTTGCCAGATGCAGCAGCTCATACTTGTAATCCCAGTGACGCAGGAGGCTTAGGCAGGAGAATTGCTTGAGGCCAGAAGGTGGAGACCAGCTTAGGGAATTTAACAAGATTGTCTCTAAAAAAGTAAGGAGAAAAATTAGCCAGGCATGGTGGTAAGTGCCTGTAGTCCTAGTTGAGGAAGTTGATACAGACAGATTGCTTGAGCCCAAGAGTTCAAGGCTGCAGTGAGCTAAGATTGTGCCCCTGTACTGCAGTCTGGGTGAATAAAGCAAGACCTCATTTCTTAAAAAAAGAAGAAAAAGAAGATACTGTGAATCTAAGAAGACTGACCACGATACATGTATCAGAACCTGTATCTGAAGGTGAAGGTAGTCAAAAACAAGCAGATTTTCATGGAATGCCTCCAAAGCTAAAGGCAGACAGGGCCTGTAAGAAGCTCCTGGCAGACCAGGCTGAGTCACACAGGTCAGAAACCAGGAGAGTATGTGAGCTCTGTGAAAAGCCCATCTAGGCTAAGGAAGGGAGAAATCATCAAGACTCTGTCTAAGGTGGAAGAAATGAAGAAATAAAGTTTTCCTCTCTTAAATCTATACATAGTGGCCTTGGCGATTGCAAAGATCAGTTATTCAACTGAAACAAGATTTTTGTCTGCATGGAAGGAAAAATAAGATTATTTATAGGAATACAAAAATCTTTGCTATTTTTGTATTCCTATAAGCTTCTGGATCTGCTGATGAGAGTTGGCACTCAGACATCCAAAATTTATTAGAGGCAAAGGAACAGGAAAATGCAGTCCACAATGAGAAGGAAAACTAATTAATTGACCCAGAAGTGACAGATAAAATAGCACACAAGGCCACTAAAATGATTTTTTACAACTACATTCCAGGTGTTAAAACAGTTAAACAGAGACATTTGAATGGTATATGTT